CATGCTGAGCATGTTCGGCCGACCCGAAGCCACACGAAGCAAGCCGATGTACGGCTGATTTCAGCCGATGTACGGCTGAGATTAGCCGTACCAGCCTGAAGTGAATAGCCGAACAGTGTTCGGCTCACTTCACTTCAGATCGATCATTCACTCGGCTGCCCTCGGCAGCCTCGTGAATAGACCTCATAGTGTTATGATTTTAATATGTTTTATTTAAATGAGGGTTGCACAGATACCAAGTACAGTACTCGGTACAAGTACGAGTATATGTACCGATACTTTTGAGCTCCAAGACTACACTTGAGAAAAATTCAAAAGTTAGGAGGCAGCTGTCATTTGTAAGGAGCACACGGAGCTGCTGGGATGTGTACATTTCTATTTTAATGTACGATTTTGTTTTTATAAATATAAATAAAGGAATGCACAGATACCAGTTTTGCGAGTATGAGTACTGGTACTTGCCGAGTACTTACAAGTACGAGTACTGATACATTTTTGTTTATTGTCATGTGACAGTTTTTCTAAAACAACACAGACTAATGATTTCAGGACAGTGGTGGAGTGCCAGAGCCAGGTCCCAGCTGCCACCGCTGCAACCCTGGTAGTTCTCATGAAAATGCCAAGTATCTGCACTGGTGCTCGAAAAGTATCTGTGCATCCCTAATTTAAATGCAATAATTGTATAGTTGTAATACAAGTAAATAACATTTTCTAATGTAGCAGTCATAGAAGCATAAATAACAAATCCATTATAAGAATGAATGAAATCCTTAATAAGTTATAAGGCTTGTTTTACCTAATGTATCCTCACTGGTTGTTTAAAGGTAAAGGATTGAACTTCTTTGTCTCTTATAACCTGCTTTGACTCATTGGGGTAGGGTTCTGTATTGTCCTCTGTGACCAAAAAGAACAAGATTTCTTTAATGGTTTTAGAGAATGTATTTTAACAAAGACACCTCCATTATGGGAACTCTCAAATGTTAGTGGCACTGCTATTAGCTCTCATTAAGGGCTGATGATGCGGAAGTGATTGTGACAGATTGTGGTTATTCTTCCCTTAACGTGCACAGGAAGACATGCAGCTTTTAGCCGGGGGGCGAGCAGCTTGGTTTATGGTACCACTATAATGGATGCCTCATAGACTACCACATAAGTAATGAGGTAACAGCTGTTTTAACTAGCAAGGCAGTGGTTATTGTTCCTCTTTTTGGTGTGATGTATAGATCTCAATGAAAATCTACTATTTAGGTACTAAAAGTGTTATTTGGAACTATAACCTCTATCTTATCTATTAATTATCTTGTTTACTATTTTAAAAAGCCAGTATCATGGAAAAATGTTGGTGAAATAATAAAAATTCTGGGTGTAGTCCAGGGCCGTAGCTACCATGAGGCGAGTGAGGCACTCGCCTCAGGCGCAGCTGAGAGGGGGCGCAGCTGAGAGGGGGCGCAGCTGAGAGGGGGTGCAGCCAGGGCCTGAGCCTCCTCACCCCTGTTGCCATGGCAAGCACAGGGCGCCAAGCCGCTCGGCCAGGATCTGACAGCCGGCGGCTCTCTCTCTCCTCAACGCTCGGCCATCCTGAAGTGGCAGCTCCCTCCTCCAGTCCCCCCCGCCAACTGCTGCGCTTCCTCCTGCGAGGGCACAATTTTTTGTTCTTGCCTAGGGAGCAAAAAGAGGTAGCTACGGCTCTGATGATAATTTTTGGCATATAAATTCTTAATGGTTTGCGTAATTGAGGACGTGAAAGGGGCAAGTCAATTGCCTGTATACATTATGCTGGAAGGTCTCATCTCAGAGAGTTTGGAGGTTTGCATACTCTGGAAACTGCTCACTAACAGGGTTAATGCACAAACTCTTCAGTTTAACACATTTGATGTAGTGTTCCATGGCTGAAAAGGATGGCTAAAATAGACTGGCAGTTTCATTATATGCATTCGGATTGGTAATTGCTTCTTGCATAATTGGAGAGCGGGTTGCAGAGTCACACTTTGAGATGAACAGTGACATGTTATGGATATTGTGAGAAGTACTGTATGTACAATGTAGATGGATTGAGAAAGATATATAAGAAACAATCAGTATACTTGGTGATTAGAATAAGTGTTTTTGAGAACTTAAATCCATAAAACATCCCTTTCCTATTAAGGATATTTCCTCCTTTGCATAAAATATTACCGATAGTATCTGTTAATTATGACCCACAGAAACCATTACTGTGGGTGAAATAGCAGAATATGAGTAAAAAGAAGCAAAGGAGGAGGAACAAAATATACAGTGTAAATATACAAGATATATATATCTATAGATATATATCTATATATCTATAGATAGGTTTTAAGAACATTAAACATTTTTATCCAATGAGATTTCACTTTACTGAAATTAGTTCAGCGAAAAAATATATCATGATTTTTTTGCAACTAGCCTTACCAAATAAGCCTAATTGACTGGTTTTGGTTCTGTACTTGGGCAAATGTATTTTTGTGCAGGTTTTTTCTCCCACCTGTGGATAATATATATGTATGTTATAATAGATATACCTAATTAAAAAATGTAAAACCTTTAGTAATGTGCAGTCCTAAAATCCCTGATGGAAAGCATTTATTTTCACTCAATTGTAAAGTAATGGTAGATTCTTGGTCGCAGATTAGCAGCTTGGCCCACTTCATTTCAGTGTCATGTTAGAGTATCACAGCATGTTTTCTTCACCAGGACAGGACAAATAATGAAATCTAATTCTTTAGATAAAGCATCCCAGTGCCAACAAATCTTACTAGGCTACATGGTGGACTTCATCTTGTTCCCATTACACCATTGTGTCTAAAGCATTGGATGACTGCCCAACGCATTTGATGGACATTAATGATGAGATGTGATGCTGCTGGGTCTTTGGGGCATACTCAGCTGGAAGCTTTCCTTCCCATCACAGCAGTCCCTTTTCTTTTCTTTCTCTGCAGTAACGTTGGCTCTGTTATTGCTATTCACTTGGGTTTTAACACCAAAATCACTAGTCAAGTTTAAAGAGACGAAAAAGCAATAATTGTGTATTAATTAGTGACATTTCTGGAGGTTGACCTTTGGCTTAGTAAGGTTGATTTTAAAATTAGAAATTATTCTGATGGCTTTCTGACACATTGTCAGTCAACCCAAACCAGCCCTATATGTCTCTGAAATGTTTGAAGGGCAACAACTCATTTTTTTTTAATTAAGCAACTCGAGATGTTGCAGTGCCGTCCGTCCGTTTTTTTACTACGGGCGGACGGCAACAGGTTAAAGCTATGGATTTGTATAAATTATGGCATTAACTTCTAGTAGCTAGTCAGCAAGTTTTTAAAGATCCTTGACATTCATTTGCAAAACATTTACACTAAGATCAGTTTACCTTCAGTGAAGCAGTTGCTATTGGGTGACATTAATTTGCAGGTGTGTTCAGTACAATGCTGGATATTTCTTTCCAGATTGCTTTTTCAAAACCATATATATTTTATGTGATCACATCAAATTGTACAGCATTGTATTAATACATCTCATTTTGAGCCGTAGATCATAAGAACAATGAGCTTAAGGAAAGATAAAGCATTTCTTTTAAT